CTGGAAAAAAACATTTAGTATGCTATCATCTGTCAAAAGAGACACTGCTTTGTTATTTGCACATGTAAACAGTAAGCAAATCTTTTTTAAGATGTGCCAGTAAAGTCTAGTTTCTAGACCTGTAAACCAAAGAGGTGGGGAAATTTTATCAAGCTTTGTTTTCTTTTGTCTTACCAACTTTTTATACATCATATTTTAGACACAAGTATGTAATGCGTAACGAGAACCTCATTTTCTTTTCAGTCACTACAGTACATGGCAGAAGTACAAAATGAGTCAGACAGTGATAGAGCCAGGAAGGCTATAGAGAGACCTTGAAGTGGTAGGTAAGGGAACCTCTAAATCTAGCAAGTATAGTTTTATTGTAATTTATGATCTTGCATGGGTGTTTTGTATCCTTGAAACCTCTTTGAATGGCAACTTTATATGGTAGACATACTTCAGTTTTCCTTACTCAGCTCTTTGGCAAAGGCTTAGAAATTGTTTTAGCTCTGAATTAAGAAATCTGAACTGCTGCTCCTGCCCCATTTTAACATGTCCTCACTTCTGTAACTTATTAGGGGGTAAGGAGGTTTGATTATTAAATCACTGCAAATTAACTCACACAACTTTACTAGTTTCAGGAAGGTGACGTTTTTGTGGCCTTACATTTATATGTATGTTTCAGTATGTAGCAGAAGTGTAATGATTGCAGCACTCTAGAGCAGTGCTTCTCAAACTATCTGATGTGGCAGACTGGCAATTTTTCTTCCAGTGGGCCAGGGACTGGTGCCCAGTTCAGCCGGTGGCAGCAACTGCATGTAACAGCGCTACACAAATGCGCGACCGCCTGTTTCTTTCTCTTTCCTCACCTCGCACAGCGTGACGTCACCTGGAGTGTTGGAATGTACGAACCGTGGAACTATGACATATCAATATTATGCTTCTGAAAAAATAGTTCTTTCTTTCCTGGCAACTCGCTGCGGACCAGTGGCTTGTTCCACGGACCACCACTTTGAGAAGCACTGCTCTAGAGGACGAGAGCAACTGCTGATCCTGTACAGTGCTGAGTACTTGCTATTCTCATCCCTCAGAAAGATGTCGATATGGCAAGACGCTTGAGGATCAGCTACACCCACAAATAGTCTCTTTGAGCATGTTGACCGTGCTTTCAACAATGCTGCAGAACACTGCCATGAGTATACACTACCTACTCAGCTCAACTCTGCACACATCAAATGAAGGAAAAAGAGATAACATACCTGGCCCGCGGTGTGTGTATAGGATATGACCAGCATTGTGCTTGGTCTCAGGTGTGATTATTGGCACACCCAGTGCCAATCTAACAGTGTCTGCATTAAATTTTTTAAATTTTTTGGCCTTTGGCATGGGCAGTGTGAGGAAGTAGGCAGCAGTGTTTTCAATTTTTTGCATTTGGTAAGACTTTGCATACCTAGCTAAGCTTACTTGCTTTTTGGCCTCGTAGACTCAGATCAAGTGTACTATGGCTCAGCCTCTTCATGCCAGGACTTGTGGGCAAGTCTACTGTAGGTAGATTTATGAAGACCAGACATTCTTCATGAAATTGAGAGAGAACTGACATTTTCCTTCTCATTTCTATTTTTACCACTAGGGGTGTGAGCTCATAGAGACCCTGGATCAAGATTTGACTGACTTTACCAAGTGCCTTCAGATCCTCCAGACAAGGATAGAAGAAAAGGGCCTGCAGGTAAATCCAGTGGATCTTCATCTGTGTTCTGTAGTAATAACTCCCCAGCACAATGAGGTTTCTGCATCAAGTGTACACGGCAATGAAGTGGTTATTTACTGTAGCTAGTCTGAATCTTTGCCATATTTTACTGCACAGCTAGTAAATATCTATGCTCTTGCTAAGTGAGATTACCCAGTGTGGCTAGACAAACAAACATCAGCTTCCTTGAAAGACAGCTTATATTGCTTTGGGTTAATGAAGTGCTGAAAAGCGATTTGTGGCTGGATGCTGGCCTGGTGTTCAAGTCAAGGCTCCTATTTGGGCATGTAAATAAGTTTTCAAACCGAGGCCATCTGGATGTTGCCTGTCTTAGACAGAAGAGTAAATAAGGCAATGAACACTGTTCTGCTACTTATACTCATGGTGAGCAGTACCTCATTATGCAAGTCCCTATTAAAATAGAAGGGATGTGGGAAAAGGGGGTTATTGGCAGAAAAAGGAAGAGTCCCCCCAAGAGGGACATAAAGGAGTTTAGATCTTGCTTCTCTTGTAAAACCAGATGGAGAGTGCACTGCCTTTTCTCTCACTTTTTTTTGTTTGGGGGATCTCACCTGCTTGTCTTCTCTGGGAGATAAATAGGAGAATTCGTTGGATAGAAGAGGTTATCATAAGCAGCTGGAAAGGAACTGGTGCTGAGGAGATACTGGGGATGAAGAATCTCCCAACAGTGTCCCATTTGCCTTGCTTTGCCATAAATACAGACTCCCTATCACAGTATAGAAACCAGGACTTTGGATCCGATTCTGCTGTACTTACATTCCTGAGTGAAGAGGGGCTACAGTAAATGTGTTGTTCAAAAATTGGTTTTCACAGGGATGCTGCAAGAAATTTGAAAATGAATTATAAATGCAAAGTTATAGCAATGGGAATAAGACATTTTTCAAATGCATTCCTACAACAAGTAGCTAACTCCTTAAATCTTTGAATGTCTTGATCTCCCTTTCAGTCTTTCAGTTACTAATGTAAGGCATTATTCAGCTGGGTGAAGGATATTGCACTGCAAATCCTTGATGACATTTTGTGAAGTACTAACCTAAGTATAATTGTAGTAATTGTTCAGAATGCATGCCAAAGCCCTATACCTAACACTACTTCTGTTCAGTTTTATTGTCATGCTGCTGTATGGAATGGCACCTGAGGGTACCAGCTTTTAATTCAATACTAACCTGGTGCTTTTCTGAGGATACAACAACTGAAAAGGGCAAGTTTTCTCCAACCTAAGGAATACATATATTAAATGCTGACTATTTTTCACTCAGAGTATGTGTTCCAGAAAGTATCTAACGTGCCATCTGTTGATCTCTTCAGGTTAACTGAAAATATACATTTTCCTTTTAGCCTTTGCATTTTCTGCCATAAAGGAGTTCCTGGAAGCGACTATTACTTCAGTCCACCTATATTTAATGCCCATGTGATATCCAAACTTGCATCACAAATATAAATCCTTCAGTTAGGGTTGAAGTTCCCCTCTGTTCAATGTCAGAATTATAACTTATTTCTAGTTGTAGAGTGCTGACATACATTTTTGCCTATGTTGATGTCTAGAGTCTGATTTATAGATATCTCATACTTGTTGACTTCAGTTAGGAGGGAGATACTTAGTAATACTTAACAGGACTATGCAAAGCTTTGGTAGGTGATTTGATTCAGAGGAGATTCGGCCCGATTTAGGGACCGAATCTCCAAATCCAAATTGAATCAGGAAACCAAGTAAAAGCTCTGAATCAATTCAAAGCTTCCGAATTGATTCAGAAAAGATTTGGCTACTTTGGAGATTCAGCCATAGACTAAATAGGCAGCTGATAAGCCTGTTGGGGTTGGGGGACCAGGGAGGGAAGGGGTGTGGGGGAGGGATAGATTGGGGCTAAGCCTGGGACAAGCTGCCTCGCTGAGGCGAGGGGGCGCGCTACTTGGGGAGGGGGGCAGAGGGGCACAGGATGCGAGCATGGGATGTGGACATGGCAGCGCTGGGAGCAGGGGCTCTGCCCTGGTGCCGCTTGCCCCACTGGGGCAGGGGGGAACAGGATGCGGATGCAGCTCGCTCCAGGCAGAAGAGGGCAAGCAGCAGCAGGGCATAGCCCTCACTCCCAGCACTGCCACTCATGCACCCCCTGCACTGGATGGCAAGTGGCAGCAGGGCAGAGCCCTTGCTGCCAGTGCTGGTGTGGATGCCACACTTACATTGCGCCCTCCCCCCCACGCCAGCTGGGCAGGCGGCAACAGGGCATAACCCCCACTGCCCCAGATCCCCCAATGGATTCCCTGCCTGTCACCATCCCCTGCTTGCATCCTCACACCCCTATGGCTTCCCCCCAACCCCAGGCAACATCACTTAAAAAAAAAAAAGAAAGAAAGAAAAACGAAAGAAAAGTAATGAAAAATAAAGCCTCTACTTATCCTAGAATCAGAGGCTGGGGGA